CTGCTTTCCCAAGCTACGAACCAGGGAGCTGGATGGGAAGCAGAGCCTCCAGATTATGAACTGGCATCCATATGGATCCTGCCGTGTGCAACATGAGGACGTTAGCCACTAGGCTACCACGCCAGACCCATAAACTGTAGTTTATAGTATAGTTACATTGACTCTCCACACGGTCTCTTACAGACTTTAAATTGTGGATTTATAACACCTAGCACAATGTAAAATGCTGAGTAAATAGCTGTTACAGTGTTTAGGAAATAATAGCAATTAAAACAGTATAAATACAATATTTTTCCCAAATATTTTCTACCTGTAGTTGGTAGAATCCATGGATGCCAAACCCAAGGATACACAGGGTCATACAATTAATTATAAGTTGGTTCAAGAAAATTGTATTTTTTAAAAAAGATTTATTTATTTTTATTACAAAGTCAGATATACAGAGGAGGAGAGACAGAGAGGAAGATCTTCCGTCCGATGATTCACTCCCCAAGTGGCTGCAACGGCCGGTGCTACGCCGATCCGAAGCCAGGAGCCAGGAACTTCCTCCAGGTCTCCCACGCGGGTGCAGGGTCCCAAGGCTTTGGGCCGTCCTCCACTGCTTTCCCAGGCCACAAGCAGGGAGCTGTAAGGGAAGTGGAGCTGCCGGGATTAGAACCGGTGCCCATATGGGATCCTGGTGGGTTCAAGGTGAGGACTTTAGCTGCTAAGCCATGGCGCCGGGCCCGCAAGCAAATTGTACATGGCAAATGAATGCTAATCTATCTTTGCCTTCCATATATTAAGCACTTCCTCTGTATTGGAAACATTCTAGAAAAAATAGAGGCATATTAGGAAGCTTGACAAAAGTAGGTTTGGCCAGAGGATCCGTTGTGATGAGCATTAGGGGCAAAGAGTTGGGGTGAGACCAAGCTTCCCATCAACAGCAGCTCGTTTCGTGAGGGCCACTGCAGCACTTCTAAGTCCCTCTGAGACGGCTCTGCGATGTGGCCCGAGGAGCTGAGAGCTACATCTGTGCGGGAATTGAGAGCTGTGAGGTTGCTGGCAATGTGTAACTGCAGGGCCGCTAGAAAGTTTGACTCAGCTAGATAGCAGAAAAAGTAGAGTCCAGACAATTAGAAACCAAGCAGAATCTTGCCATTCTGCAGTAATGCAAGATCAAATTCAGTTTGTACACAGGATAAATGCTGAGCACAGAGTCAGCAGAACTGGGAGTGGTTAGGGGTCTTCGTGAAGGTCTCGCCCTTCTCTGGTAGTCTAGTTCCTCCCAGCAGGCAGGGTTATGCTTTCAAGACCTAAGTGGGATCATGTTTGCTCCAAACTCCCTCATTGCACTGAAAAACCAATACAGTCCATGCTCCTTTCTCTGCCTGCCCCCAGCATCACACCCAGTCACGCCTCGTTTCTGAGACGTGGCCAGGTTGACTGACGTCAGAGCTCCGCACCGGAACACCGTTGGCTTTTTTTGTCTCTAGTTTTTGACCAGTTGGATGTTGTTTCCTACGAGGAAGTTGTTCGGCTCCCCGCGTTCAAGAGGAAGACCCTGGTGCTGATCGGTATCTTCCCTTTGCCTCCATGTTTGTCATTATGTTCCCGCCTGCCTTGTGTATTCACCTCCAAAAAGCGCAGGGTGGGGAAAAATGTGAGGTTTGGGGCGTTAGGGTTAGTTCTGTCTATACAGAAATTTTAGAATCTAATGGGTTTCCCTAACAAACGAACCTAAGCCACACAAGCGCTGGGAGCAGTCTTCCCACCAAGCAGCAATCTTAACCCGACAGAATTACTCCTCACTCTAAAGCCAGTTGTGTGGCAGGCGGTGCTCCTTCCCTTGCTCACAAAGTGGTAGTTGTTTCCAGGATTTGTACTAAGGTTCTAGTGAACTTTCCAGTAAAATCACTGGCCTGATTCAGTTCTGTCCATTTTGAAGGGTTCCAAAAAATTGACATCCTAAGAAAATAAACAGCCTAGATACAAGACCAAAGCATTTTCTCCCCTTGGCAGTTTCAAAGGCTGGGTTAAAATCCACATCCCACCTCCACCTTGGTCTTCGGGGGAAAGCAATGGAAGCCCCTCTTCTCTCCTCTCGCAGGAGCCAGTGGGGTGGGCCGCAGCCACATCAAGAACGCACTGCTGAGCCAGAATCCAGAGAAGTTCGTGTACCCCGCCCCGTGTGAGTATTTCTGCGTCATCTTGGGGAACCTAAAGGATGGGGCGCTGGCACCACACTTGGCATCTGAGATCCGATAGTGCCCTATTCTTTGTTGTTTTAAAAGAACATTTTGGGGGGCAAAAGATCAAAGCAACTAGCAAAACAAATTTTCTTACTGTTGTCTTCTGTATAACAGAAGCAATATTTTTTAAAATCCTCTTTCAAAGAGTATTGAGCATGTACTGAAGTTCACGCAGGTTGCCGGTTTTCGTTTTCTCATGGTGCTGTCTGCAGTGAGTAGATGTAGTCACTTCTGGGGCATCCCACCCTTGTGTGCTCATTTTCCTAACATGCCTCCCAAGCAAAGCAGTGCGTAGGGAAGGGCCGGCTTACCGGCACCCCTGGGTAGGGAGAGGAGTTGGTGACCAGGCAGCAATTAAACTTGCCATGCCTGGAAGTGAATCTGCAGCATGCGTTCAGACACACTGCTAAGCAGAAGAGAAAGCCAAATTCGAAAGTTGATATTGCTGCTTTGTTTATTCTTTGCTTCTCTTAACTGGACAGTTTACATGTGTGTGAATGAAGTTGTTTCTTCTGTGCAGAACACACCTGGCACTGGGGTGAGGGGTGAGGAAAGTGGAACCAGTTGGCTCCTTCAATGGAAGAGGGAAGGAGAGAAGTTGAAGATTGTATTTCAAATTGCAGTATGTGGGCCATATTTCACTTAGCAGACCTTGTGTGTAACAGAAAGTATGACTTTGAAGAAGATTCTAGCTTTGACCAGTGCCAATTTAAACCACACCAGGGAACTCTTCTTTACAAGTTGTGAAAAGGAAACATTAAGTGCATTTTCAGGAAATCTTGACCATAACCCATAGATCTATTTTCAAAGTATTTTCTGCCATCAGTTCCTAACTTGTGACCCTTAAAATATTCTTGTTTGGTGCCTTGAAACCTACAACTTTGAGGAAAATGGTCACAGAAATTGTCACCTTTGGGCTTTGAGTTCTGAGCAGATGGGTCATTTCCTGGTATGCGTCACCATCTAGTGTCATTCCATGGGAACAACACTTGCATAAGTACCTGGAATACATAACACGTTTGGTGAGGGGTTGGAGTCCTTCACAGATACTACACGACCACCAAGGAAGAGTGAGGAGGACGGGAAGGAGTACCACTTCATCTCAACGGAGGAGATGACCAGGAACATCTCTGCCAACGAGTTCTTGGAGTTTGGCAGCTACCAGGGAAACATGTTCGGCACGAAATTTGAAACAGTACACCAGATTCATAAGCAGGATAAGATTGCCATCCTTGACATTGAACCCCAGGTAGGTAGGCATGGTGAGGCAAGCGTCTATGGATTCAGTCATACAAGGGATGGGGAAGTGGGGCTCTCGAGAAGAAAGCCCAATGCTGCTGTTAGGAAGAAGGTACTATGAGTAAGTCAGCATTTTTCGCTTTTCTTCCCGCCTCCCCCACACTTCCGTAGACTCTGAAGATGGTTCGGACAGCAGAACTTTCACCTTTCATCGTGTTCATTGCACCTACTGACCAGGGTGTTCAGGTGAGCAGGTTGTACAGGTCGTGGGGACTCACTCCAGCCTTTGCTGCTTCCTCCAATGCCAAGAAGCAAATTAAACTAGCCAGGCCAGAACCCATGCTAGGGAAACAAAGAACAGAGCGAAGCTGAGCCCAAGTGGGCAACAGGGAGCCAGGCAACTGCCAAGAGCAACTGTTCCTATAAAACTGCTGCTGGCTTCTCTGGGCTAGAGGGAGAGGGGAAACGTGCACTCTACCTGCTTCACCCAACTCTCTTCTTTGCAGACTGAAGCCCTGCAGCAGCTGCAGAAGGACTCGGATGCCATCCGCAGCCAGTATGCTCACTACTTTGACCTCTCGCTGGTCAATAACGGTGTGGATGAAACCCTTAAGAAACTGCAAGAAGCCTTTGAGCAAGCATGCAGCTCTCCACAGTGGGTGCCTGTCTCATGGGTTTATTAAAGTGGCACACTGTGGAGGAGGCAGTCTTTCCAGCATTCAGAACTCTATTCCTTTTGCTTTAAGACAAATAGCACTGCCGCAACTAGCCCTGTCGCTTCCAGCTCTCTGCAACTATCATAGGCCAATAGAACTAAATTTTCCTGCTCGGGCTTCTTCTGAATGGGTGGGCTTGGGTTTTACCGATCTAGATTCTAAAAGGTGCTGTGGAAGCAAGTGCAGTACAGGTCTGCCCAAGCTGATGCACAAAAGAGCCTGCACTCCTTCACCTTTCATTATCCTTCGCCTTTTATTTGTCTCTTACTTTGGAGAGAGCATTCTGAATGGTAGCCTTCTTCTAAAATGTCAAAATCAAAGAGCTGAGCAATCGAATATCTGCTCTGGAGAAATTCTTAAAAGCAATAAAAATGTTACTGCGTTAAAATACTAATCGTCTGTAACTCTCGAGTTTCTACCTGTAGCGGAAAGCCGAGAAGGAAGCCGTTGCCTCTCCCGCATCCCAGCGGGACTGCAGAGCAACTGTGGCTTTGCCCAGGCCGCACTGTGTGACAGAGAACGGCTGACACTTTCTGCCACAGCTCAGGAACACGAGCTGGGATGTCAGGACCAGGGCGCACCAGGTAGCTGGTCAGCCCATGGTTGCGGCTCTGGCCATGCATCACCCACCCATTCTATCATCAGTGTTCCTCGGAGGCTTGAAAGTTCAGATACAGAATTGGGGTCCTAAACTAAGCATGAAGGAAAAGGACTGACTGCAGGCTCATAAAACTTGCCAGATTTTTAATCAAAATATTTTTTTTTTTTACTCTGCTAACTTCAAATCAATAATTAGAAAACCCAACAAAAATACTTAAAAACTTAATAAGTCAACTTTAATAAGTACAAATTACAACACTCTGCTTCTAGCAATGAGCTATTGCATTATTTAAGAGAATGAGGGTTAAAAGAGGGTACAGGGACGGTTCAGCCTGAGCCACAGCCCCAAGCACCAGATGGCTTTAGGCGAACACTGCTGTACACTCAAGCCGCCACCAGAACTGAACGCTGTCCTCCCAGGCTCCTTCAGTGTGGAGGAGAGGAGCGAGAAACTGCCAAGCGCCGTGCATACTTAGCTACTGGGCAGTAGTGGCTCTTAAGGTAAGGCCTCCCATGCACAACAGCCAGTGGCATCATCTGCCTCTTTCATCACCCACATCCTTAAAACAGGACAAGCAGGCTGCCATCGGCCAGGTCTCGGGTCACAGCTCCAGTGTGCCTCTGCGGCTCAGTGCCCAGCCTTTGCCCAGCTAACACAGTGATGCACACAGCCTTCGCTAGTCAGACAGCACCTCCACAGCTTTAGCCTTCTTCTTCTTCTTCTTCTTCTTGCTGCTGTCACTGTCCTGCAGGGAAAGACACAGTAAGTCGGGAACTGCAGTCAGCAGCAGTTCACAGCGCAGCCAGCCCGGAGCCTAAGCACACACACCCCTTCTGCAGGCTCTCCTCCACTTTCTGCAACAACTTTGGCCTTCTTCTTTTTCTTCTTCTCCTTTTTGACCAACTGAGGAGCTGCTGGAGGGCTGGCATCACTTTCACTGTCACTCTCACGTTTCCGCTGAAATAAAAACAATCAGTCAACAGTCAGATCTCAGGGAATGGTGGAAAGCAGACAGAGCACGCTGGGCTCCCACATAAGCTTTTTTGACTTCCGGGAAGGTGTGCCATCAGCAACACCAACATTTCTTACACCTTGTCTGCAAGGATACGCCACTCACCTTGGGGGCTTGCACTGCTTCAACCACATGTGGGCCCTTCACTTCGTCAGCAACCACTTCTTTCCCACTGCAAAATGAGAGGGAGCACTAAGTCACATGGGTTCCTCATAGCGGTCCTCAAGCCTGGTAAACAAACTGCAGCATCGGTTTCCTAACCCAACTCGTGCCCCGTGCTCCGTTCCGTGTCCTCCGTGGCCACGGTCGTGGCAGCACAGCCCGTCTGCCCAAACCCATCCTCACCTGTACTCCACGTAGTCCTGCTTCCAGGCGGGAGGGGTGCTGTCCGTGGGTTTGCCGTGCTTGTCCAGAAGGCCCTGCTTAATCATCAGCCTCTTCTGACTTGCCTGGTGGATGGCAGGGTGTCCACGTTAGATTACCCATGAGTGCACAAATGAAGCCTCAAGCAATTTCCCTCAGAACAGCACAAGGCTCATCCCTTCGCATCCTCAGCAAAGCCTCAGGGCCCCGGACTCTTCCTTCCCCTCTTGGTGTCATCAACACGTAACACACCCTGCACACTAGCTTGTGACAGGACTCCTTGCCCAGATCTCCAGATCAACTCAACCTCCTCCTTGTTGCCTTTCCAGACACTAGTACTTACCAGAGGATAGTGTCCCCACAACTCCGCATTCCCCAAGGTCAGAGATGAGGCCTGTCTCTGTTGTCAACAGTCCAGAACCCAAGGACAAGCAATGTGACAGGGCACACTGCACAGTCCTACTTACCTTTGGGCCCAAACCCCACTTGCGAGGGTAGGTGTCTCTCTCCATGATCACTCTCTTGATCTTTGCTACTATGCCATGGTCACACGTAGAGATCACTGCTGTGGTCATCAGTGCAATTGCTGCAGGAATTAGAAACAGAAAAGAATGATTAGAATTCTAGGACCTTGAAAGGAGTTTCCCTTTAACCAGGATGAGCATACAGAGAAAATCCTCCATCCATTCGGGGAAAGAAGCCTTTTATCGCACTAAGCTTAACAAGAAACAATCAAAGAACGTCAAGACACACGGGCAGGTTTGTGGCTCTACATACGTGCAGGGCTGCTTATGCCACACTGTGTTTCTGCTGCAAATCACAGCTGCTCAGATTTACTAAGCAGTCAGGGCTGATGGGTTCTTGGATGTTAACTAAGCTTGTATAAGGTAAACACTGCTACAAGTGACAAGTGAACAAACACTAAAGGCTCTTACCCTAAACAATTATTTCTCACTCAAGGTAAGTACCAAGCTAACCAGCCCCTTCATTGTGACCACTCCCACACAGCACCATCATTACCTCAACTTTGAGGGGCCAGGAAGTGGGGACCTATTCTCAGTGAACCTGCAGGCAATGTCATCAGAACTGATGAAGGTGGCATCCCTGCGTACCCATGCAGATGGCTTCCCCTTTGGTGGTAATGACAACGATCTCCTGATTGACTTCAATGCCATCTTCATAGCGAAGAACACCTGGAAGCATTATCTTGGCCCCGTAGCAGATGGCATTCACCTGCAAAGGAATGGTGCACATGTAACGGTCTCCATCACAGCCTTTGTAGAACCACCACCTACTATACCCAGCACCTCACATGCATGAGTCAAAAATCGGAAAGATCAATTTAGCAGCTACTTTTCCCATTTCTCTGATCCTTCAGCTATAAAAGATTGACTTTCTTCCTGATCTTCAATTACTTATGCAATTGGGACGTATAAGTTATCTTTATTATAAAATTAATTTTATATGTACACACACACACACACACACACACACACACAAATCAGCCTTCACTTTCCCTAACTGCTCTTCCTTATCACACACAAGTTTCGACATATAGAATTTATAGACTATATAGAGCAATGGGTACAAGTCCAGCTCTCCAGGTACAATGGGACTTAGGAATCTGCCTTGCTCCTCCATCTTCACTCACTAGCTCTCGCAAAAATATTTTACTCTCTCCTTGGAGAGTTGGCTTTTTACAACTGCCTAGCACTAACAAAAATTTCATTATCTACATTCTCTGATAATCTAATCGGAAATAAAAATGTACTAAAGCATGCAACACTGCTTGGAAAATAAGAAATTCATTCTTCTAAAATGCACCACAATTTGTGTTGTTAGCAGGACTACTTACAAGTAAGGCGAGTTAGCAGATGTATGAACAAAGGACTTGATAAGCTCAGTGGACTTCACACACTTACTTACACAGATTTTTCCCCAAACCTCTACAGGGTAAATAAGTTTGTTAAGGCTCTGAACCTCTCAAAACTCATCTTTTCCCCCATTAAACCAACTTCTAACAAGAATCTAAGTAAGTGAAGGTTTCTTAGGCACATAGAAGCCAACATCATGTTGAAAGCAACTTTTGCGCACCACTAACAGCTTTTGCTGAACAAAACATTTTAGTCATAGATGCTTCCATTGTGAAAGAAGAACCTAACATCCAACTTACAAAACTAGGAAAGAAACAGTAAGTTCACAAGGTCAGTGCTGCACTTCATTTGACTTTGCAAAAGAGAGACCAAGAATCAAGACGGGACAACAGGGTAAGGATACATTTAAACAGAGAATCATTAAGCAGGGGGCACATTCCAGGAAATAGGAAAGGACAGAATGACAGCAGAGCGGTACCTGGAGACTGACAGACACAGGAAAGCAGCAGACACGACAGTGTGGTGTTGTGACTGATGCTCCAGTGGCATTCAGTTAATGGCCTTCTGAACTCCACCAGCAGGCAGAACTCCACCAGCAACCAGGTGGGAAGGGACTTTCACTGGGAGCTTGGGAGGTGAACCCAGACAAAGAACTGTCTGCCCTGCTGGTCTGTTTGACCAGGAGCAGAGACAGAACGGCAGATCACAGACGGGCAGTACAGGAACAGGGTGGATTTCACAGCCCAGTCTGCCTCCTAGAGCCAAATCAGGCGCCATTTTGTGTAGGGAGACAAAGACTATGGACAGTACTCTATATGCACCGAGCTGGAGGGAACTCATTCCTGGCTCAGTGAACTGCAGCAATGTGGTGTCCTACAGGTTCCACCCAAGGCAGGTCCAGGTAGCCCTCAGACCTGATGGCCAGCAGGTCAAGAACTCTAGTAGTGACACAACACATGCCATTTTGCTTTTAAACTTTTTTTTTTAAAAGATTTATTTCTTTTTTTAATTGGAAAAACAGATATACAGAGAGGGGGAGAGAGAGGCTAAGATCTTCCGTCTGATGATTCACTCCCTAAGTGAGCCGCAACGGCTGGAGCTGAGCCAATCCAAAGCCAGGAGCCTCTTCTGGGTCTCCCATGCGGGTGCAGGGTCCCAAAGCCTTGGGCCGTCCTCCACTGTTTTCCCAGGCCACAAGCAGGGAGCTGGATGGGAAGTGGAGCTGCCGGATTAGAACTGGCGCCCATATGGGATCCTGGGCATGCAAGGCGAGGGCTTCAGCCACTACACTATTGCGCCGGGCCCAACAGGTGCCATTTGCACACTGTGGCAAAAGCAATAAGACTGCAGGGACAACAGTGAGTATGTGCTGAGCTGTGAACAAACTTACTTCCACTTCAGTGCATTGAACTATAGTCCCACAGGGAAAATAATAGTGACTCCGACATCGCTATGGGTCAAAACAGTGTTGTGTGGCCCCCAGACCTAACGGCCAACCAGGTTGCTGCAAGATCAGCAACAGCAGCAACCTAGCTACTCAAGACATCTGGTGTCTCCCTAATCCTGGGGCCTGCTCAAACCAGAAGTGGGAGAAAGATTTTATAGACAAGAGTGCAGAGTCAGCACGGGATTACAGGAGGTGGAGAGTGGTGAGTCAGGAGCTGGGCCTATGGAGACCATGGTGGAAATCTAACATAAGAACTCAGACCTGGGGGCCCGGCGCGGTGGCACAAGTGGTTAAGGTCCTCGCCTAGCACGCCCGGGATCCCATATGGGCGCCGGTTCTAATCCCGGCAGCCCCGCTTCCCTTCCAGCTCCCTGCCTGTGGCCCGGGAAAGCAGTTGAGGACGGCCCAAGGCTTTGGGACCCTGCACCTGCGTGGGAGACCCGGAAGAGGCTCCTGGCTTCGGATCGGCATAGTATCGGCCCGTTGCGCTCACTTGGGGAGTGAATCATCGGATGGAAGATCTTCCTCTCTGTCTCTCCTCTCTGTATATCCGCCTTTCCAATGAGAAAATAATAAAAAAATAAATCTTTAAAAAAAAAAAAAAAAGAACTCAGACCTGGAAGAATACAGTGGAGCAAATTAAAAATACAGTGCAGAGTCTCCAAAATAGAATAAAGGAAGCAGAAGAAAGAATCTCAGAATCAGAAGATATTTCCTGTCACCAGGGGAAAACAAACAAATAGCTGGAAGCAGAGCTGGGTCAAGCTAAAAAAAAAAAAATTCAAGAAATGAAAGACACTATTAAGAGGCCAAATATAAGAGTTATGGGAGCCACAAAAGGTAAAAAAAGAGAAGCTGGGTTTAAAAATGTATTTAATAAAATAATAAGGGAAATTTTCCCTAACCTAGAGAAAGAATTGGGAAACAACATCCAGAAGGGGCACAGAACTCCCAACAGGCTTGACCAAAAGCGATCTTCACCATGACACATGATCATCAAGCTCTCTTCAAACATAAGGAAAACATCTTTAAATGTGCAGTTCAAAAAAAAAAAATCAACTGACATATAAAGGAATGGCAATTAAACTCACAGGAGACCTCTCACAGGAAACTCTACAAGCAAGAAGAGGATGGAGTGAGTGACATAATCCAGATTTTAAAAGAAAAAAATTGTCAGCCTAGGATAACATCCAGCAAAGCTTTCCTTTGTCTTTGAAAATGAAATAAAATTCTTCCACAGTAAAGAAAAGTTTAAACAATATGCCTCTTCCAAACCTGCCCTATAAATATATGATACTTCAAGATGTTCTCTTGACAGAAGAGGAATAGCACCAAACAAAACCAAAGGCAAATGTGAAGAACATCCCAGTAAAATAACAGCAGAAGACTAAATCAATGAACATTCCATTGCTAAAATGACAGGACCAAATTGTCACCCATTCGTATTAACCCTGAGTATAAACGGCTTAAAACATCAATCAAATGTCATAGATAAGCAGACCGGATTAAAAAATAAAACTCATCTATTATTCCCTAAAGGAGACATATCTCTCCAACAAAGATCAGCAGAAACTATATCTCATGGATTTTTATCTCTTCAAAACACTTTCTCATTAAATTCTTCACTGACCCTTACAGCAGCATCATTTTCTTCAAGAAGATTCTTGATTTTCTTTTTGATTTATTCAGTGACACATTATTCATTCAGTTGCATGTTATTTACCTTCATGGTGTTGTAAATTTCTATTTTTCTTCCTGTTGTTGATTTTGTATTGTGGCTTTTCATTTAAGGGGATGTATAGTAACTGTGTGATGGAGACTATCATATCCAGATGTGAGGATACAATGCAGTATGCATCTCTACTTCCAGACAAAGATGGACTCCCAATGAAACTGTTTACTATAACTTGACAATAGGATGCTGGACTCTGCCATTGTCCATGCCCGCAATGATGGACATATGACTGTGTATTTAGAATTATATTATAGTAATAACACAGGGGAACTCGGGAATGGGGGTGGGGGAAGGGGACTTGGAAGACAGGTAAGGGAAATCCTAGGGCCTATAGAACTATATCATAAAATGAAAATAATTTTTAAAAAGAAGAAAAAAAAATAAAAGACAGACCCCATGGTACCTTTGGTTTTCATGCAAAGGTGGATTCTCACCCCAGGACTTACCGCACTGTCTTTCATAACAAGCCGTTTGTGAGATGTCAACAGCTTTTCCAAAGGGTACACAACTCGCCGCAGGTAGCTCTCATCCTTATGGTTGTCATACAACCACTGAGCATCAAGTACGTCATGCATTGTCACCATGTGGTCCTGAAATCAGGCACACAAGAAAATAGCTCTGTATTTTTGGACCTGACAGTTCCAGCACCACAAACTGCATCTTCTCCGGGAGCCCACGCTCATAAACAAGCCGGAGCGTGTTTACAGATTAGTTCTATGAAGGCAGTGCTGTAGGCTGGGGAGACAAATGAATAGAATGACATTCTCTGTCCACTTGTGTCTCCTAGCCCCTTTCAATGTTCCAAAGTTTAATTAACAGTTCAGGGAAGCTGCCCTGAACCGAACTCAACACTTTGGAAATTGCCTTCGAGACGTAAAGCAGGACGAGCTCCAGCAAGGGCTGGGAAATACAAAGCAGCAGCTGTATTTTCCCCACTGTATTCTTCCAGCTCTAAGGCCTCTAGCCACGCCGCTGACATACCTTCTCACTCATGACTCCAGAACGAACTCTTCGAAGTTCTTGCATCTGACCACCAACTCCCAATAACAAACCAAGGTGCACACACAGTGTCCGAATGTAGGTGCCAGCCTCACAGCTCACCCAAAAGATGCCTAAGATACAAATACAACACAGAGTACACACACCGCTGGTTGAGAAAGCTGGAGTTGGTGTCCTTCCGAGTCATCAAGACCACAGATGACAGACACAGGTCATGGCCACGCCATACAGTAGTCTCAAAGGAAGCACAAAGTGGATCCTGTAGAACGAGGCCAGTGATAATCCAGTTCCTCAGACTTAGCTACCCACCTAATCTCCTTTCGGGGTCATATTCGATCATTTTGCTCTCGTAGATGGTCCGCACTCGGAGCTGCCTCTTCACCGCAGCGATAAGTGGGGGTCGCTGGAAGAGGGCACCTGTCAGAGTCTCCAGGGCCTAAGGGCAGGAAGCAAAGCAAGCATTCGCTGACACGGCCTCTTGAATAGGCAGGGCATACACAAAAGGCTCCTTCCAAATGAACAACTGAAACGCCATTTCTTCCCATTTCTGTCATCAAACTATTCTGGGATGGCTCAGGGCAGACATGAGGCTGGCCAAGAAAGGTGACCGACCTGTCTCCAAAGTGACAGACTTACCCTGGAGAGCTGGGTCCCCCCTTCAATGGCATTGTGCAGCCGAACAATTCCCACATACTCTTTGCCTGAAAAATGACAAAAGAGTAGTCAGGCACGGCCACTGAGTTTTCTGGATTTTCTATATGCCATATTAAGAGGCAGGAAAAGCAAGCGTTTTGAAAGGAAAGGACAGGAATGGAATGAGGATGTGGGGGCTCAACACTCAACTTCTTGATGCAGATTTTACAGATGCACAAAGTCAAAGCACAGGGTTAGAGCTGGACTCAAGACAGAACCTGCCTCAGGGGCAGGAGTATCTTTAACCTCAACTCCATGTGCAGCCCCACCGGGATGTGGCAGAGGACAGATGGTATGTGGAAGCAAAAAGAATATCCTTGTTTCAGCAGGCCGCCCCAGCACAAGGAAGTTTCCAAGAGGCAAAACACAGAGGGAAGCCTTCACTCCACCTCGTACACACCTGCACTCTGCTGTGACTTCACCAAACGAGTGGCTCGTTCTATGCACACGATTAAACAGCCAGTCACTTTGGGGTCCAGAGTACCGCTGTGCCCTGTCTTCTCCACCCGAAGTATTCGTCGGATCCAGGCTACCACCTCATGGGAAGACGGGTTAGAGGGCTTGTCAAGATTAATGAAGCCTGTCCTAGAATGGAAAGAAAAGCAGTGTACCATTTGCTACTGTGCTCTGAAACAAACCCAAAGAGTTGATTCACTGTGGGTACAGCTTACACAGTCAGGATAAAGCCACCATAGGGCTGTACCTCCTTGACTAACTGATGGGAAGGTTTGAAGTGCTTGCCCCCGTACACTCACCTGATGTAGTCCCCAATTTCCCTCTTCAGAGGGTTGGAGCCACTAGGAAGAGGTGTATAATGTGTCGTCCTGACATTAAGCTTATCAAAATTCTAGAAGACAACAATGGAAAACAAAACAGTTACTCATAAAGGTTTTACACAGGTGAGACCCAGAGCCGCCATCACCACCTTTTACAGTCGTGATTTTGCAATTTTACTCCTATCATCTCTGGTATCTGCCCTGACAGACTGCCTGGCTCCATATACACCACCAAAAGCGAATGCAGGCATGTTAAACCCACTGCTCTCCAGACTGGGATTCACCGAGGAGGGCTACACGTAAGGCACACTGCCAGGACAAGACAGCAAGCAACATCTGTCAACATGGCCAGATTGCTCCTGCTGCAAACGCCTCTCAGAGGCTTAACTGCCACACTGCAGGCCCCCGGCTGCGGACTAGCTTGCCTCATGAGTGCAGGTGCATGGAGGTACTCAAGAGAAAAAATCTGCCTCACCTGTCTTCCACATCCCTAGATTTGAAGTTCTGTGACAAAAAGGCCCTTGGCTGCCCTGCTTAGCAGCAGATCCCTAGGGTCTGCGATGGAAAAGTGAGTGCTATGTAGAGGACAGCGCACCTGGCTAAGCAGAAACCCAGGTGTGTTAAAAGACACAGCCAAGCTCACTCTTTAGCATCCTCTTCCAATGCTTTACGAGAACTCGCTGACCAAGGAAAAGCTCTCCCTGCTGGTAGCCATTCCATCATTCAAAAAAAACGAGACCACTGCACTTCAACACATCACTTAGCTACCCTATTCAAAGCCCCGAGCAACAGCAAAACCGTCTATTAAAAAACAAATTTACTGATTTCAAAGACACACAGAAGAGAAAAACAGAAATCTCTTTTCTGGTTCACTGCCCAGATTTGCACAATGCTGCAGGCGGGGCCAGAGCGAAGCCAGGAGCTCCGTGAGAGCTGAGCGGGAGTCCACTGTCTGAGCCACTACCTGCTGCTTCCAACAGGAATCGCCAGTGAAGGCTGCCATCGGCTCCAAGCACTTGCACACGGGATTGGGGAGAAGCAAGTAGCATCTTCACCAGGACACCAAATGCCCACTAAAAGACACGCTATACCACAAACTCCACTGAAACAGACTCCACGGATTGCCTCTAGGAAAAGTACATTTTCCCAAGATCAGAAAATAGTCCAAAAATATCTGGCGGTGGGCATTTGGCAAAGTAGTTGAGATGTCACTTGGCACACTCGCATATCATTGTTGCAATGCTCGGTGTGCATCTGAGCTAGTCTCTTCGGGAACCTGGAGTGGAAGGCAAAGATGGCCTAAGCACCCAGGTCCCTGCCACACCTGGAAGACCCAGACTGTGGTCCTGGCTCCTGGCTCTGGCCTGCTCCAGCCCCAGCTGCTGTGGAGGGTTGATTCATTCTGTCTCTCTTAAAAAGAAAAAAAAAAAAAATAGATACAAACGCGAAAGGGAGAAGGTAGCGAGTGGTCCAAAGTGACACACACACACACTTACACTGACTTGCATGCTGTGGCTTCAAGATGTAGCCACAAACAGGCTGGCTTATCATATGATCGAGCACCGCACCTGTTCACAAACTTTGATAGCAACTGCACATTGCCATAACATAATTCTAAGTCATATTGCAATACGAAAAGTCAACAGCCTTGTGATGCAGCCGAGGTATTTTAGGGAACAGTGTTTTACACTTTAGCATTTCCTAATATCAAGGATGGTAGCAGGAAACATTTCTTTGAAATCCTGTAAAAGCCAGGAATTCACCTGACGCACATACCTTTAGCAACAGGGGCCACTGAGATGTATCTAACTGTGCCACTTTCGATTCGGGTTTGATAAGGAATTCTTCAGCGTGTTGTATTTCCTGCAGTAATCCAGAAATGTAACCTATTAGATTCTCCAGCTCCTTTTTGAGAAATCTCTTACTAGTACACGTACAGCAAACGAGGCATTCTACGCCTGTTCCAACGGAAACATGGAGAAGAAATACACCGGGCAGCTTAGATACGCCAGCAAAATGCTACACAATGACTACCCAGCAACAGTCCACTGACCGGAAATCTCGGAAAATTGTCTTTATTATTTAAGTAAGCTTTCTTTTCGGTCAAAGGAAAGGAAAACGCCTCTACAAACCGCTACTCACAGCTATATCATCTTCTGGTAATGATTTCCGGTCTTTTTTCTTCTTATGCTTCTTTGGAAGAACAACTACTGAAGAAACCGGGACGTGTTTTTATTAGACAAGCAAAAGTATGTGAAGCACAGTTGAAATCAAAGACTCAAAGGCGGCCGGGCAGGCAATGAGCTTTACGTCTACAGTGATAGCAGGGAAAAGCGCAGACACCAGCCGCAACCGAGCGCCAGCAGCCGCACGTGTTCCCGTCCCTTCGGGCTCACCACGTGGCTGTGGCGCCGTTTAAGCACTCCGCAGAAACCTTCACCTGTGGGTCGCAAAGTTGCACGGCGGCTACAGCGCTGCCCACGCGGCCTTGGGGCCCTGCTGTGGGGTCCCCGTGGCCCTTCGGATCGAGCACCCTTGGCCCCCCTTGTCTCCAGGAACTGCCGGCAGCTGTTTCTGGGCTGATGGTGGCACAGGTACTGCCAAGTCGGCCTGCCAGTTCTGCCAACAACCTTCCTACAGCGACCCGGGCCTCCAGGAGACCGTTGGCCGGAGACCGAGGCCCCGAAAAGCCAAGGAAGCATGGGGGCCTCTCGTTCTCGCCGACGGGACCAGACCGAGTGCAACGATCCGCTCGAGTCCCGGCTGCCGAGCCACAGGCGGGAACAGGCAGTGATCACGGGCCCCGATGTCACAGCCTCACCTCGACTCGGCGCACATCTGGGGGCCAGCCCTGCCCGGCTCGCACAGTCCGCTCGCGCACACCCCTTACCTTCCGCGTCCGCCATGTTCCCGTACACCGCGTGCGTGCTGCTCCGGCCGCCGCCAAAGCGCCACCGCAGACTCCCACCGCCCAGGTCCCGTCAGGCCGTGCCGCTAGGGCCCGCCCACCCGCGCACCGCCCCGTGCGCATGCGCCGCGCCGCCGGCGAGAACAGGCGGGGGCGCTCCTAGAGGGCGGGGCTCGAGGCGCGCGCGGGCCGTCGCTACAATCTCATTGGTTAACTTGCCATGGGGCTGGCTCGGCCGCGCATGCGCCTCGGGCCTGCCGTAGCCCTCGGCGTCCGGCGTTGGAGGCGCCGCGCAGTCCACCGCGGCACTGGGGAGCTGTGGGCGTGGCCGGGCCGTGGCTCCGTTCCTCCTGGTTCGGCTCCGGCGTCTGCCTCCCTCCGTTTCGCGGAACGCTCTGTAATTGGTAGTTCCTGGCTTTCGCGCGACTACGCCTTCAAGTTGGTGTCGACCCGGTCCCAGTTGTAAGATGACCACGTTAAGGCCCGACAGGTTGAAGGTCTTTGGTGTTTCTGATTCACAGTGGCACGCAGTGAGCCACAGGCAGGCTTTGGAAGAAAGATGAGACGACAGTCAAATTTATTTTTACCGAATATTATTTAATCCACTGATTCCACACCACTTTTGTGCGAAAGCACTCACATTTGTTATCATTTTATCAATTGATTGTATTTGTTGTATTTTTTAAAAAGATTTATTTATTTTTATTACTAACTCAGATATACACAGAGCAGGAAACACAGAGAGGAAGATCTTGCATCTAATGATTCACTCCCCAAGCGACTGCAACAGCCGGTGCTGTGCCAATCCGAAGCCAGGATCCAGGAACTTCTTCCAGGTCTCCCACACAGGTGCAGGGTCCCAAGGCTTTGGGCCGTCCTCCACTGCTTTCCCAGGCCACAGGCAGGGAGCTGGGTGGGAAGTGGGGCTGCCGGGATTGGAACTGGTGCCCATGTGGGATGCTGGAGCTTGGAGGTGGAGGATTGGCCAGTTGAGCTGGATGGAAAGTGGAGCTGCCGGGATTAGAACCAGTGCCCATATGGGATCCCGGTGCGTTCAAGGTGAGGACATTAGCCGCTAGGCCATGGCGCAGGGCCCTATTTGTTGTATTTTATCAGTTGGTGGTAGACTTAACAAAAACGGATAACTATCGGTTTTGTCCCTCAACAGTAGACATATCAAACATTTTCGGGTTTGTTTTATTATGCTTCAGAAAACTTTTTTTTCTCAACTTATTTCAATGAAAGTAACAAGATTATTCATTGTAATCATATTTAGATCAACCAACCAATCTATTTTGCTCTGTTTAGATGGTCTAAATAGACCCCCCACTACCAACCAATCCATGAGCACTTAACTACCACCCCGTTATTTTACAAAGCTACATTGGTGTGCATTTCACGAATGAAATTGATTAATTCCTTGATAGTTCTACAGGCATTCTGGTAGCTGAATTAGTCACCTTGGCTTTTTAAAAGAACAGAAGCTGCTAGGTGTTTCACAACTTTCACTGCTGTCAGGCCGTCATGATGGCTTTCCAAGATTTTTCTAGTGGCCTCCTACAGACACACCTTCTTGTACTTGCAATTTCAGGCTCTTCCCAACGTAGCCGCTCAAACGAGCTACTGTTCTATTAGTATCTCCTCTACCCAAAATTCTTCAGACTTTCCATCCACAGTGAGAAAAACCTCTTTGCAAACATGATGAAGCTAAGAATCTTCGCATGAGCTCATTATACCTTATTTGAGTGCACCATACATCCATGTGTCCAGGTACCATTATAAAAGAAAAAGGAGACTGCTATTTTAATTCTCCAGAACTGGGAACAAATCTCTGTAGTTTTAAGCTACTTAGTGTGGGACTCATTTGTTAAACTAACCTTAAGAAACAAATATACTCTCATTAAGAGCAAGGCCAACATTATCATGGTACCTGCAAAAAGTTCCTCCAGTTCCCTTTCTGAGTCTATCTGCTACCATACAGCTTCCCTGATCAGTGCTTTGCCCTCTGGTGGTGGTTAATTGATCATGGTGTCATATCATGGGCCACCTAGGTCTGTCTGAACACATCCTGCCTTTAATTACCACAAGCTAAAATCATGGCTCCTAACCTCATTCTGAGACTCACGGAGTAATTGTGTAGCTCAAAACCTTTTTTTTTTCTTTTTTTAAGATTTTTATTATTTATTTATTGGAAAGTCCGATATACAGAGAGCAGGAGAAACAGGGAGGAAGATCTTCCATCCAATGATTCACTCCCCAAGTGAGCGCAACGGCTGATGCTATGCCGATCTGAAGCAAGGAGCCTCTTCCGGGTCTCCCACGCGGGTGCAGGGTCCCAAGGCTTTGGGCCGTCCTCGACTGCTTTCCCAGGCCACAGGCAGGGAGCTGGAAGGGAAGTGAAGCAGCCGGGATTAGAACCGGTGCCCATATGGGATCCCGGGCACACCCAAGGCGAGGACATTAGCCGCTAGGCCAAGCCGCCGGGCCCTCAAAACCTTTTAATGAAAGCAAGGCCAGGTACCTGCTACAGTATAGATGTGTATTTTTAAAACCCTCCTCCTGATTTGTCCTGGTAACCTGGCTGTTTACCAAGTGTCTGCTGCACTGTGTACTAATCTCTGGGGACTTGGACTGCTTCTCTAGCCGACTGTCAACAGGGAGGTCTTGGGGCCTTCACGGTTGTGTGGCAAGTTATGCACCTCCTGTGCAGTTGGCATCCCACGTAGGTGCTGGTTGTGTCCTGGCTGCCGCACTTCCCATCCAGCTTCCTGTTTGTGGCCTGGGAAAGCAGCACAGGGTGGCCAAGGGCCTTGGAACCCTGCACCTGCATGGGAGACCCAGAAAAGACTTCTGGATCCTGGCCTCAGATGGACCCAGCTCTGGCCTTTGAAGCCATTTGGAGGTGAACCAGCAGATGGAATATATGTCTATCCGTTTCTCTCTGTAATACTACTTTTCCAATGAAAATAAAGAGATTTATTTAAAGATTTTTAAAACAATTTATTTTTGTTGGAAAGGCAACATTACACAGAGAAGCAGAGACAGAGAAAAATCTTCCATCTGCTGCTTCACTCCCAAGTGCACACAACGGCTGGAGCTGAGCTGATCCAAACCCAGGAGCTTCTTCTGGGTTTCCTGCTCGGGTGCAGGGTCCCAAGGCTTTGGGCCATCTTTGACTGCTTTCCCAGGCCACAAGCAGGAAGCTGGATGGAAAGTGGAACAGCCAGGACATGAATTGGTGCCCATGTAGGATCCTGGAATGTGCAAGGTGAAGATAAAACCACTAGGCTATCATTCCAGGCCCAAAATAAACCTTTAAATAAAACCTGAGATCTTAGCTGATACATTTCTCAGCATAGGCTTTCTCCTTAGATCTTACATGCATGAGTACAAGCAACAGCTGGAAAATTGTCCAGAAGGCTTTCGTGACTTGAGAACAGGGATAATTACAGAAAAAAAGGAAAAGGGAAGACATGGACTCTTGCTTCCCCTTTGCAGCACTATCCTCTCACAGCACTGAGGGTATCGTGCTGCTTCACTACACTGATGTCTGGGAAGTGGCAGTTATCTCTGTTTTGTTTGATTGATTGATTATAATAAGAAAAAGTTAATTTGCTCTTTATGAACTCGATTAAATCTGTGAAAAAAGTTTTAATAAATTTTAAACTATTTTTAAGTTTCATTTTTGATGATCTTTACATAGTTGATTCTGGCTCAAAGGGACAAGGGCTAAGTGAAAGTAAGACCATTGTTTCCACATTCTATTTCCTTCCTGTGTCTGTGGTAAGGGGAGAGATAAAAGGAGATGCTACACCCACTCTCCCAAACATCCCAGGGTCCCCAGTGTGGGGCCTGCTCCAAGGGCACTGCTCAAGTTGTTTCGATAGTTCAACAGTTCTGACTTGCTGCCAGTCTTGCCACTCCAAGCACAAGGAAATCTCTCCAAAATACACTGGCTGACAGAGTCCACCTTAGTGTTTGCCCAGATTTTCACTGTCAATGCTTGACTGGTGTAGTTGGTCAATTTGTTCTGTCCTCTGTTCTGTTACCAGGTGTCCTCAGCAGGCTCTAATGTGCCATCGTATCCTCCATGTGCACCTGGATATGCTGTCCATTGCTCCATTTAAGCCACGGAGGAGGCCCAGCTCTGACACACAAATTCCACGGTCAGACCATGGAAGCTGCGATTTTCTCCATGGCTGGGGGTTCTGAGTCCAGCAGTTCAGTTTGGGGGATCCCCAAAGAAACCTCACCTGAGGTGATCCCAGACCTGATTCTTGTGTGTGCTTGCCAGTACAGGATCTGGCACAGTCTGTAACCCAATCAACTTACGCTCATGCTGGTGGTTGCAATTGCTGGGCCATTTCTGACTCCACCCCGTGTTTTATGCAAACCAATGGGTGTTGGAGCCCATCCCAATCCTGCCCACCACACACTTAGCCCTCACGTAAATCAGTGGGAGCTGCAGCCTAGTTGGAGTGACCCACAATCATCCCCATCTGGCCCACCTCTGCCCTGGTTCCCATATGGGCTTGCAATATGTACAGCAGACTAGTCCATTCTGTCCCACATCCCATTCAGATCTCGTGCATGTCAATGGGCATTGAAGCCTAGTTCAACCCAACCAGCCCCACTATCCAGTCCACACACACATGCCAGCAGGTGCCACTCTCTGTCTAGCCATTCCTGTCCCAGTCCTGGCTCTCATACTCTCCAGTGTGAGTGGCAACCCGAAAGGGAGGTGCCCACTGTTTCCCTACTGGGTCCACTCCCACTCCTGGATCCTGCATTCTCCAGGTTGATCTGCAGTTTAGTTTAACAGAATCAGTCCTCAGTGCCAGCATCTGCAAGCTGATGCTGTGGCAAAAACCAGCTAGTGCACACCCACTCTGGCTTATGCATGCACCAGTAGGAACAGTCAGCGCAGCCTGGCTTTCCCCTGATCCAGCTCACATGCAGGCCAACAGGTGTTGTAGCCCTGGCCAGCCTGGTCTGCCCCCAGTCCTAGCTCTCACACTCACCAATGGGAGTAGTGGTCCAGCAGGGGAGCCCCATGCGCCC